GCCGATATATATAAATGATCTAAAGGCATCTACGCGCGACACACGTTCAGAACTTTGGCGCGGCGTCAATTCTTGACCGGTATCCAAGCGTGCGAAGGCACAAAGATGCATCACTCGGCGTGCCAAGGAAGCTTTGATCACGCCGCGACACCGGCGACACGTTTTCGACGAGTTATACCTTTTGATACGGCTTCACGCACATTGCACTCGCTAAACACATTCACACGGCGTCGGTTCTTGGTCGGTATCCAAGCGCGCGAAGGCACAGGGACACGGCACTTCGGCGTGCCAAGGAAGCTTTGAACACGCCGCCAGCCCTTCCTTTCGACGCGCTCTGCCTTTTTCCTGCGACACTGCACTTTCGTAAAATTTTCCACGTGTTCACAACAGCAAGTCTCAACAATACACAGAGTCTCAAAAAACTTCCCCGGCGAATGACGACGAACGAGTAGAAAACGTGTCTACAGCACGCTGGAAAACCGCAGCAAAAGGCTAGCGAAACGGGAAATCGTATCCCAGCGGGGTTGCGTCCGGTGGCTTCACTTGCGGGAGCGGCAAGCGCGATCCAGCCATTGTCAATAGCGAGTTTTAGTAGACCGTGTTTCCCGCTCCGCTGAGCCCCTCCGCTACCCGGAACTCTACAGCCAAGGCCATCGGCGCGCAGGCGCAGTGGCGGTTTCTTCGTAGCGGAGGGCTAGCGGAGCGGGAAACACGGTCTACTAAAACTCCCTATTGAGATCAGTGGTCCTTGCGGACAAAGACCGTCATCTAGCGGGAGGAGAACAAAAGGCACAACACACCAAAAATAGTTTTGCTTTCTTTTCCGAAAGAAAGAAATTTGCTTTCGGAAATATCTGTTCCGAAACAGATTAACCTATTAAATTTTAGAGGCACTAAAGCGAACACATTTTTCTAAATTAGTAGATTATGTAAAACGTTGTTGAACCCAAAAGTGTCAAAACAGCCGTTTCCAGTCGATTTCACGACTTATATATATATATATATATATATATATATATCAGGGTGTCGAACCGGAACCGAACCGAACCGAAAACCGGAACCGAACCAGTATTTTTTCCGGAACTGAATCCGAACCCGAACCGTTATATTGTTATCGCGATGAACCCGAACGGGAACTGAACCGGAAAAAAATAACGGTTACCGGCTCATGTCAAAACGGTTCGGCCACGCACTGTTGACAATGAATGTGCTATCAATGCCATTTGTTTTTAAGTGCCGTCAACTGACACACACCTCGCTTACATATTTTTCTTCTCCACTCAGTCTTAGGAATATAAACGCTGCATCCATGAATCTTGACAAACGCTGCATCCATGAATCTTGACATAGGAACCAGTATTGCGCTGGTCGCGGCTTGCACGGAAGAAAAAAAATTGGAAGGCTGTGCAAAAAAAAAAAAAAAAAATCGCGTCACGGGATTTTATTTTTTTACAATCTCGTAAATCATAAATGGTGCTGTGTGCTCATTTCATAACACGTTTCTAGAACGCGCGAGTTCTTGAAGCTTGCTTCCATCGGAATGAGAAAAGAAAAGGCTGTGGAGTTTGATAATAATGCATCCGGTTTCGTATAGGCACTTAGAAGCTAACATATTTGTGAGACAGCGTACTCTTCTATTTTAATATTTATCCTATTACGTCCTTCTGGCGTTGCGTTCGGTGAAGTGTTTTTCATATTCCGTATCTTGTTTAATGAAAACTTCTTTAAGGGTCTAATTTGAGTTACCGAAGGCTAGTTCAAATACAGAAAAGTGTATTTTCTCCCCACTGTTCCTTCAATTGCTTACACGCCGAGGTGGCGGGATAGTTAGCGAGTTGTACTTGTAAGTGGGTTTGTAAGGAGGTCGCGGATTTTACAGCTACTGCGTCGGACCCAATGAGATGAAGTCCGAATGCGTAAACGTCGGTGAGGTAACCTTTGAGTGCACATAAAGAAACCATTCCTGGTAGAAATCCCTGAGCCTTACACTACGATGTACCCCGTTTCGTATGTGCTAATTTCAGATGTTTTATTTGTAACTTATTTTGATGTTGCAATTTGTCATTTTTAACTTCCGAACCGGTTCGCGAACCGGTTTGCGGATCGAATTAATCGAACCGGAACTGAACCGGAGCAAAATAAATTTACCTGAACCTGAACCGTAACCGAACCCGTATTTTTTTCGGTTCGACACACTGATATATATATATATATATATGTGTGTGTGTGTGTGTGTGTGTGTGTGTGTGTGTGTGTGTGTGTGTGTGTGTGTGTGTGTGTGTGTGTGTGTGTGTGTGTGTGTGTGTGTGTGTGTGTACTAAATACTTAGAGATATGATCTGCACCAATGTACCAATTCAGTATATACTTTTTATCGCAAAAGTTTCAAGCAAATATAAACAGCGGTTCTCACGTAGGAATTTTTTGAAAACGTAAAAAATCTGCATTTATTTTTATGGCGTCGGAGGTGTTATGCACTCTTAAGGTGCAACCCTACCGTTCATGACGTATCGGTCTTTTTGGGCGGTTTATAGCTTTTTTCGATGTATACAACAGTCAAAACGTTAATGACAAATTAAAGAACTGTTTGTAAACTATAGTTTAACGTCTCGATACTGCACTTATTTATGTTAGCTTATTATTCAGCTTTTAATAGACCAAAGTTTCTAATATTAAAAAAATATATTTCTCGAGTTATAATGTTCCATTGTCTATGACAATTTACGTAGACGGTCGGTTGGATATAAATAATTAAAAAAGTAAGTTACGAACTGTACAGATAATGTATATTAAAAAATGGTATTTTTATGGTGTTATAAAAACGGAATCACGTCAACTAATCAAAATTACGAAACATTAAATTACGAAGCATCCTTCGATATTAGATTATTTAGAGCTTCCATATCGATATATTACACCTGATGAATGTTATTAGGCCTCAAACATTTCACATTCAGTTACGGCAAGTTGCAGTTTCTTAATATAAAATACAGATGGTGACACGTCTTCAAGAATACCTTGATGTGCATTTGCAGTCGTGTACCTGTTGGAGCGCCACGTGAAAGAAAGAAAAGACGCCAGATGTTAGGATGTCAGATGCCTGGATCCCCGCAGTGAGCAAGCCAGCGATGCCAGAACACTGACAAGCGCGTGGCGGCGAGCACACCAAAGCTGCTTTTGAGCGCGTTCTACTGCGTCGGTACCACGGTGGACGGTACAAATGCCTGACGCAAAGGCGTTGCATGACGCGATCCAAATGAAATGGGCGCCATTAAAGCGATTCCGCCAGTTGGGATTCCGCCACGTATGCAAAAACAATGGAATGTTTTTATCAATTGCAGAAATTATTTTCGCAATCGAACTATGCTTGTCGGAATCGTTCGACAATATTCTGTTTCAAAACCGCCTCAGTGGCCTTTAAAGGGAAACTGAAGCGGTTCTCTTTTTGAGAAAAAACATTTCAATGGCCTTCATTCTACCTCCAGGATGAGAAATATCAAGATTATTTTTCAATTTGGTGCACGGAGGCTTCAGAAATTAATTTTTAAAGTACCGCCGAAGCCCCTCCTTCCCGGGGCGTGACGTCACACTAGGAGCCTTCGGAATATTTGCTCTCGCGCATCTTCAGCGCCTGTCAAAGCTATGCACGCGCACTCTTGCTATTTTCAGAAAGGTCAGAAAGAGACGTCACGACTGGTGTCAGTGCGGGGAAATATACCTGGCAAGCTTGCGTTGCACGCGCTGAACACACGAGCGACACGCGCTTGGCGGCCCGAAGATCCTAGTATGACGTCACGACTGGTCGAATGTTTTTTCGCTTTTTCTCGCTTTTAGTTGCATCTTCAGGGAAAACAAAAGTGATATTCAGATTCACGGGATAAAAATACGCCAGAATTCACTTCTAACTCGTTTTTTTCAAGAAGTGTTTCAGCTTCCCTTTAAGTGGCAATGATATGAAAACAAAACACAAAACACTAAAACGTCTCAGTGGCTTTGAGCCGACGCGCTGGCCCATATGAATTCATATTTGTCGGGTTTGAATACCGGCTGAGGTGCCCGCAATCTGACGGAGGCCAATTTGAGATTTCGGTTGCACGTCAAAAGGTCCCCAAATAATAAAAAAAAAAAATCCGCAATTTTTTTTTTTTTTTTTTTTTTTTTTTTTTTTTTGCTGGGGCGTGTGATGACTTTTAGATGATTAGATGACTTTTGTTGGTTTGGGTTTGTAAAACCCTAACATTAAATACTTGCTACGCCTTACCTTAGTTCAGAGCGCAGCCAACGCTACGGGCTGATGAAGCCACTGAAGCAGCTCCAAGAGAGCGAGGTCATGCAGTTCTTTTTCTTTCTGTGCCTGTGGGATCGGCCTAAACTAAACTCCGTCCCACTAAAACCGTGCAGTGCAGCCAGAGCTACAGGGGAGAGAGTATATCCCGACCTGTTCAAGAGGAAGGAAAGGAGGAACAGGCGAATCCCAGGCACAGTAGCGGCTTCTTCGTTATGGAGGGCTTAGCGGAGGGAGAAACGCGGTCTACGAAAACTCCTTATGAGGGAGTTTCCGTAGACCGTTTTCGCCGTCCCGCAACGTTCTCCGTAACCCGCTACGGTATACCCGGAACTCTACAGTCAAAGCCATCGGCGCGCAGACGCAGTAGTGGCTTCTTCGTTGCGGAGGGCTCAGCGTAGGGGGACACGCGACCTACGAAAACTCCCTATTGTCTAATTACGACACCCGCTATCTATGAAGTTAACAGTATGGAGTTTTAGTAGATTGCTTCCGCTATCCCGCAACGCTCTCCGCAACTCGCTACAAGATTCGGGTTTTTTTAGTCAAGGATAGCGACGCGCAAGACCAGTAGACATATCTTCGTTGCGGATAGCTTAGCGGAGAGAGAAAAGCGGGTTACTAGAACTCCCTAGTGACACCTCAAACATTCCACTTTACTGCTACGAGTGTTTCCTGTGGTCACCCTTTGATGCTTGGTTGTCGTTCGCCCACAGTGCAGTGCACGGACTTGATGAAGAGGGATCTGTGGAGACCCACGTGTCTGGCAAAGTGTACCCAACCCTGCGAGTAAGTCATGCCAAACATCGAAACAGGAACTTTTTCATTGATACAAAACATGACTCGGAGACAGTTCATTTCGGAAATGTGCTACTAAAAGAGACAAACGATATCTGTGTATATGAAACACCGTGCATGTTACCCAGTCTCTGCAATATAAACCTTCTTTGCCTGTATTTATGGACACGGCATGGAACTTCCATGTCGCCTAGTTCCCTCCTTACTTAAAACCTAAAATATTCCTTCAACTTCCCCCTGACGCCGTTTGACCGGTCGTTCAAATCTCTTCGGAGAAACATTAAATTGCCGTCTGAAAGGGTCCTGGTAATTAGCCAAATGATCGTGGGCAGTTGTCTCTTCAAGCGTCCGCCAGACCCGATGACGTTGCAGAGATCAGTATTCATATACATCCCCCGCCCTTTCAGGGAAATCAAGTACAAGACCCAGTCGTACGTGGCTCACAGGATACCACAGAACGACAGCAGGTGACACTTTATTTTCAAAGAGAGACTCCGTTTTAAAAGTCCAAAACACATGATACCTAAGCGACCAAAATCTATTTTTTTGTTTCACAGGCTGAACGCGGTGGAGTTTGTGATCCAGATGGGCTCGGACAAACGCCGCATTGTTCGAGGATACCCCAGGATGGAGGTAACGTATGCCGGAGGTGCATGTCCCATCGCAATACACTGCTTGCATTGACGTCACATCAGCCTACATTGCTACGTACTATGCTCCTGTACCCGTACCATTTGCAGCATACTTTTGGCAGAATCAAATTTGTTCTTCTTGGCAAGGATTGTTGAGAAGAAATTAGAAGGTACGAAATGTATGCTGTGGAAGGCACGGGCACAAAAAGCATGGTACGGAGCAATGATGGCTGGTAGGGTGCCATGTGACATCACGTGCAAGGTATGTATACAGCGCTATCGTGTCCGTGGCAATGTTGCCACCCCAAAAATCAAAACCCCGCAATAAGGATCCAGAAAAACCGCTAAAATCCGCCAAATTTAAGACGTAGGCAAAAACTACTTTTTTATACAATTTATTGCTAAAAGTAGCCTAGAAACAATCTGGTAAATAAAACTACCCCTAAAAGAAAGCTTTTACGATTTGTGACGATGTCCACTGCTTATTCTTATAAAGGGACCTCACTTTATCTTGCTGTTGGATGCAACGAGGTAGAAGTCCTTAGAGCGATAAACTGGCAGCTGAAAGTGACCCCCCATTTGCCGGATTCCGAGTCAAGAGGTCCAACGCATCAAGAGGTCCAACGAGTCAAGAGGTCCTATTAGCCCCGAGAGCGAACACAAGCGTCGCTGCGGTCGCCGCGCTCTGATTGGGTGAGGCGTACCGTGACGTCAGGGCGAGTACTCCGCTCCGCGATCTCGCATCGGCTCGCTTCCCAGCACCGGTTTCTTGGTTTGGCGATGTGCGCCGCAAGCTCTTCGAGGAGCTGGACATCGTTTTCCCGGTGTACAAGACGTTAAGTTAGGCCGATATTGACGTGCTCCGGTACATTTTATAAGCCTGCTCGTCCCTTTTACCTTTAAATTTGGGTTACAAATCCCGAAAGCAATCGACGGAGGCAATTTTGCGAGGGATCGGTGAAGCGGTGCCGCAAGTGTTTCAGACGCTGGAATTCTGTTCCTTGCACGTTCATCATTTAGGACGATATTACATCGCGCTTTCAAGGCATTTGAAGTGGCATTTATATAATGGGCATTTGGGTGGTCGGCAAATGAGCTCGCGACTCCGACTTTGCGCTGCCACTCTGCATGCGCTGGTTCGCAGATGTTTCAAAGGCCCTGTGTCTGATTATCTTTGAAGTGCTCATGGAACAGGGTTGTCTTACATAAATGTAGCTTCTTCGTGAATTAATTATATAGTTTATACATGTATGCAGGCATATTTCTTAAAAGATTCCCAATTACTGGAAATTAATTTGTATGGTAGCAGCAAAGACGGCCGAATTGCCTCCAGTTGCCTGTATGCTATGTATTGAACTGCCCAAAATATGCACAGCAATAGTGCCGTAATTTGGAATGTTTATATTTTTTCCTGACATTTTTATTCCAGCCTTGGGTATTCAGAAAATACACCGTTTAGTCTGAATTGTCATTTCCAATTAAAAGAGACACTGCTGCAGGTCTCCAAAAGCTTCCTCAGCCTCCAAACTCCCTACAGCTGGACTCTCTGACAACAGAGGAAAGCAGGAGTAAAAGCAAGGATTCGAACGTCTGTCCAGTGGTAGATGCAGCACTAGTAGCATAAAATGTGGAACCTGTGAAAGGCGACAGTCTGCGTGAGAAAAGCTTCTGGTATTTTAGCTTCAGGACAATTCGATTTAAGTAAAAATCTCAATTTTAGGGCTTAACGGACTAATAACGAGCTAGACACCTTCGCTTACGTTTGTTATACATTACTTGAGGGTTGATATAAACACGTCCACAGATATCACCCGTGTAGTCCATTGAAATACTACCCGAATCCAGCAAAGGTCAAATGTGAGCAGTGCATATAATAAATGTTCCTTGTTTTTTTACTTTTACCCTGCACTTGGGCTGTCTTACTTCTGATTCTCTCCCCATGGCCCAGACTGTATTTAGCATGTTGCTCGAGCAGCATGCAGCTTTTCTGCTTCGGCGATCTCGTTTAAAAACGGAGACACAAAAAAAATAGTATACGTAACCTGCCAATTCATCCAAACCATCAGCAGCGTTTATTGTGTGAGATGTAAATCTATAGTGATGCTCCTGCAATTGTGGCCATATTTCTGTATTTTCATATAACAGCTCCGATTCATGCGTTGCCTGCCCTGTCTACCATGCTTAAAATGTTGGTTGAAGTTTCGCCTGTAGCTACAAGCCATACCTCAATAAAGGCACATATAAACGGTTATACTTCCTACGAAAAACATGCCAGAAAAAAAAGATATAGAAACGAGCGCGCCTACAGCTAGCGTCGTCACAGCGTCCACACGGCGAGCGGCGCGAGTCGGGGAAAAATTCACTCCTCGCCGTGACGTCACCCCGGTTTGCCGTAAGGGGGCGCCACGCGAACTTCTCGGGGCTAATATTGGACCTCTTGACGCGTTGGACCTCCTGACGCATTGGGCCTCTTGACTCGCCGTGGATCTCTTGACTCGTTGGACATCTTGACGCGTTGGACCTCTTGACCCATATTGGATCTCTTGACTCGTGCCTTGATGTGTCAAGAGGTCCAACAAGTCAATAGGTCCAATATTGGATAGCTTGAGTCGTTGCATCTCTTGGTGTGAAATATGTACAGGCAAAGTAGTGAAATAACTACCGGCAAAAAAGATAAAAAAAACTATGAGGGCACCTAAGATTTCTCTTACGATCTGAGAATCCCGAGAATTTTCCCGAGTTGTGTCGCCGCAACGGATAGCGCTCTAGTTGCGCGATCAAGAGGGCCTAGGTTCGAAACCAGGCAGGGGATGCTTTCGTGCTCAATTAACCAGGGAGGTCACGTGGCCAGAGTTTTTTTTTTTTTTGGTCAAGTTACCACAGAGTTTATTTTTTGTTTTTTGTTTGGTCACATGACCAGATAGGTCACGGGACCAGAGAGATCACATGACCCATAATATCACATAACCAGTTTTTTTGTTTTTTTTATTATTATGTTGGATTGTGTTGGACGAGTCACGGATTTTGACGACGGCTTTTTCGCTGAGTGAGCGAGGTAATGCTCACGCATTAAAAAAACATGCAACAGAGATGCTAATAAACGCGGAGAAGAAACATATCGGAAAAAGAGCAAAACGTTTAGCTGTAAAGACTTCCACACGGCAGGGGGGATCTCACGAACACGGCTTCGATACATCGTTTCTGGCCGGTGATGTAATCAGTGTTCGTGCGTATGACTCGTGATTTGCTTGGTTTCTGAAGCGACAGATACGCGCGCCCTGGGCTGTGGGGATCGCATGCTGGGCACTGGGTTTGTAAACACCGGAAATCATTGTTGTCATAAACAGCCAAGCTTATAGCAACATTCGTTTGTTGGGGACATGTGTGCCTTCTCTCTTCTACCCCTGACCACAAAGTCGTAAATCGGCATCTCCCGTGTTTCTCTCCCCCGCGAATATCGAACACGTAACCGGAAAGGTCTTACCATTTCACAATTTGAGATGCCTTTTTTTTTTTTTTCTTTTTCTAGGAAGTGACTACTTCGACATCCGGGTTCGAAATAATTGTAAAACTATTTTAACGCATCTTTCGTCACATAATAAAGATATGTCCATAGTTTTTTGCTATTTTGACGTCTACCATCACACTAAAGCACTATTACGGCGTTTGAAGTCAGGATAACTGAACATAGTTCTTTTTTTTTTTTAATTCATGTGCCATCATTTTCAAAAGTCGTAATAATTGTTTAAATTTGTTCACGTCTCGCCAAAATAGCTTCCTTCATATTTTGAAGTGCTTGGTCTTCGAAGAACTTGAAGAGACAGTTTGCCCTGGCGCAGCATGGCGTGTAAAGTTCATTTTTCCGTTCGCCGTGGCCTAGCACTGGACACACTATAGACCTATCGGCTTCAGAAATCGACCTGCTTTCCGACACGAACAGTTCTTCAATCGACTTCAATCTCTATAACCCAATTTTTTTTTTTAATGATTGAGTAAGTAGCCCACCATCTTACAATTCCAACCGACTAATTAACACATCGTGTAATTTCAACTAAAAATAAATGATTTTGACAGTCAAGTGTTAGGTAATTTGTGTAAAGAATGCTTAATCGTGAAACGTTCAGTTTCATGGTTTATTTCACAGGATTCTCAAAAATAAAGAGCAGTAAAGGAGTTACATATCACTAGCATAAGTATTTGTGACTGCTCCCTGCTTTTGAGTAAGCCAACGGCCCAAATTAACCCGCTATAGCTTGCACTGGTCATAACGCTTCAAGGAGACAATGCTCGCATTCATTTGCAACACTCTATTGGACGCCAAGTGGCATAATTTGGGCTCGTTTAAAGACGCCCTCCAATAATATCTGAGCTTCTTCCCATGTTGTGTTATTCACCTCATTAGTGATTCGGTGAATTCAGTGAATAAAAACTAAAACATAAAATAGGAGTGCATCATATTTTTAATAGAACATACGAGAACCCGGGATGGACAAAGTTACCCAAGGAAGTATTTGCGATTACAAATACTGAGATACATGAAAGGGAAGGCTAGACGCGAGATGCTGAGGTACATTTGTATTTTATATCTCAGGAATTTGAGAGCCACTTCCGTAGAAATGGCATAAATGAGTCCTAGAACAGAGAGACTGGAACACAGATATTAAGTTCTACAAGTCCAAAATATGTCGCCAGGCACTATCCATTATATAACATTCAAATACACATACATTGTGGAAAACAGTATCTGTCTACTTGTCTCTAATGGCTATGTAGTATTTGTATTCTCCAAAATAATTCAAATAGGTCAAAGAGTCAGTAACCGTCACAAGCAGTCCCCCCATTAATAGCAATATCATTATAAACAGAGAAGATAAAAATAAGGCTCGATGGACCTCTTGACGCGTTGAACCTCTTGACGCGTTGGACCTCTTGACTCGATGGACGTCTTGACGCGTTGGACCTCTTGACACAAATTGGACCTTTTGACTCGTTGGACCTCTT